ATCCGCCTGCCTCTGCCTCCCAAGTGCTGGGACTACAGGCGTATGCCACCAAGCCCAAATGAAACTTTTATTTTTAAAGACTGACGCCTTACGTTCTTGGTAATTCTTTGCCACAGCAACTTGAGTTATGTATCATTTTTACTTGGAATACAAGATCAAATAAATAATAACTAAAAATATAAGTTAAAAAAATTTTTTTTCTTTTGTCTTTTTGAGACAGGGTCTCCCTGTAGCCCCAGCTGTCCTGGAACTCACTATGTAGACCAGGCTGGCCCTGAACTCACAAAGATCCGCCTGCCTCTGCCTCCCAAGTGCTGGGATTAAAGGCATACGCCACCACGCCTGGCTAAGTTTAAATGTTTTTGCCTCTGCCTCCCAAGTGCTAGGATTAAAGGCATGCGCCACCACGCCTGGCTAAGTTTAAATTTTTCTTCTTTTTATTTTTAATTGTGTGTATACTGGGGTAGGGGCATGCACACATGAATACAGGTGCCTCTCAGAAGCCAGAGGCATCTAAGCTCCTGGAGCTTCACTTAGAGGTGACTGTGGACAGCTGAAGGTGGATGCTGGGCGCTGGGAACCGAACTTGGGTCCTCTGAAAGAGCAGTAGCACTCTCTCTCAACCACTGAGTCATCCTTCCAACCCCAAAATATAATTTTTGGGTTATGGGTATTTTCCCTCCATTAAAATTAATAACTGTCTTGTAAACCAATCTGTGGGTTTTACTGTGGCTCTGGGAATTATACCCTGGGCCTCACACAGGCAAGACAAGGGCTGGACCACTGAGCACCGTTCCCAGCCCAGCAACCTTCTCATGGAGTTCTGGAAAGCAAATCCTACTGTCCTTTCCAGTGTGCTAACTGCTTTCCCTCTGGCAGGTATATTTTTCTGCCTGCCTCATCATGTTACCTCTTGAAAAATTTTGACGCTATTTAGTTAAATCTCACAGACAGCTAAGAGCTTTCAAGAGGCATCATAAATTTGTGTTCGAAATCACCCTGAACTCTGAAAGAAAATGTCAGCTAAGCGCTGTTCAAATAAGCACTTTGTGGTTGCTGCTCCAGATCATTCTGCATGATGCCAGTTATGTGGTTGCAATTAGTAATGGATGCATAATTATGGTTTGCACACCGTTTCAGAAGGACTTGCTAGTGTGTGGTAGTATAAAGGCTGGCACACAGCAAGTTCCAGAGAGCGAATACCCCCGGCTTTCCCGCTCAGATGAGCAGACCAACACCGCAGCTCTTCTAGGCACACACCCTGTGGGGTAGAGGTTTGTGAAGTTGGTTTGGAGACCAGCAGACCTGAGTTCCACTTCCCACTCACCCCCATACCAGCTATGATACCTGGAGCCAGTTCCTTAACCTAGCTGAGTTTCTTTTTCCTCATCTCTTATTATTTTTATTTTTTGTGGTCCTGGGTATTAAACTCAGGGCCTCACGTATCCCCTACAAACGGAGTACCACTGAGATACACCCTAGGCTTCTTATTCCTCATTTTTTAAAATGATGGTCATGGGACTGGAGCGATGGCTCAGTGGTTAAGAACACTGGATGTTCTCGCAGAAGACCTGGGTTCGAATCCCAGCACCCACATGGCAGCTAACAACTGTCCTTAACTCCAGTTCCAGGGACTCCGACAGCCTCTTCTGTCCTCTGCCGGCATTGCAAGACACTGGTGCACTTACCTACACACAGGCAATACATGCATACACATAAAAATAATAAATAAAATAAAAAAATAAAATAAAATGACAGTCACTATGCTGCACATCTCAGGGCAGGTGTGGGTATTAACACAAAACAGAGCCCCACACAGAGTGGGTGCCCCTTAATAAGGGCCATCAGTAGCCCACGGGGGTGCGGGTGGGCTGCCCATGGCTGCAGATGAAGCAGTGGAGCTCCGGGAGAGAAACACAGTGAGAAGAGGGTGAGCGTCCTCAGCATCTCATTCTCACAACGTCATCCCCAGAGCCCTGAAGATGACGACAGGAAGGTTCGGAGGAGAGAGAAAAACCGGGTTGCTGCGCAGAGAAGTCGGAAGAAGCAGACTCAGAGGGCCGACAAACTCCACGAGGTGAGCTGTGGTCACGGCAGGGCCGCAGGAGACCCACGGGGAAGGGCCATCCTGTGAGTGTGTGTGTGGTGACATCGCCGTCCTCATCACCAGTCGTGCACACATCTAATTCTGGTGGGTCTTTCCAGCAGACTGTTCTGCTTTCATTCATGGGCCTCTTCCTTTCAACACTGCCCCCGGGGCTTCCCACATTCAACTTTCTTTCATTCTGGAACCAAACAAAAGTTGGGTGTGGCAGTGTTGCACCTGTAATCTCAGCACTGAGGGAGGTGGAGGCAAGAGGGTGCCTAGTCTGAGGCCAGTTTGGGCTATATAGAAAGGCCCTTAGTAATAATGATAATAATAACAACAGCAACAACGTAAAGAGCTGGGATGTAGTGCAGTTGGTAGAGTGCTTGCCTAGCATGCACAAAGAAGCTCGGGGTTTCACCCACAGCACCCCGGCACTAAGCATGGCGTGCATGCCTGTAATCCTACTATGCGGGCATTAGAGGCAGAAGACTCAGAAGTTTAGGCTCCTCCTTAGTGACTTTGAGGTCAGCCTGGGATACATGAGGCCCTATTTTAAAAATATTTTAGCTAAAGAATAAAAGAAAGGTGTGGTGGCACTTGTATAGAAGAGGCAGGAGGATCCGGAGTTCCAGGCAGTCCTTGGCTATGTATTAATAGCAAGTTTAGGGCCAGTCTGGGGTTCATAAGGCCCTGGCTTGACCGAAAGTAAAAACAAACAAAACAAAATGCCTCTTGTTGCTCCTGATTCCCGTCCGAGTTCTTGCCCCATCCCACGCATCTTGAAAATAGCACCTCACAGCTGCTGATGTAGCTCAGAGGGGGAGAGCTTGCCTAATGTGCACGGGGTCCTGGATTGGATCCCCAGCACTCAAAATGAAAAAGTAGCTTCTGTCTGCTGTCTCTGTCCCCAGTTCCTGTTTATCCTCTGATTTCATTCCTGCGCCTTAGCTCCACCCCCACAGTGCACACAGGCCTGCAGAAGCCCCCTGGGGCCTCAGGGTCCAGCGCTGCCTTCCCAGACCTTCTAGGTCCCTTCTTCACCTTGCTGGAACATTCAGCAACCCTGGCCTTATCTTTCTCGATCTAGGATCAAAGTCGTAGTTCACACCCTTACCTCTTGTTTGCCCTGCTTGTTAGCATTTCTACATCTGTTTTCTTTTTTGGTATAATTTATTTTTGAGATCCCACCATGTAGTTCAGCTGAGCTGATTCTCAGTCCTGCCTCAGTCCTGCTGAGTGCTGTGATTACAGGTGTGTGTCCCTCCTCCTCCCCCTCCTCCTTCTCCTCTTCTTTCCTCTTAACCACCTCTTCCCCTTCTTCTTGGTCTGTTTTCTTAAATGTTGGTATTAATTAAGGTTTCAGACTCTACTCTTTTCATCTTGCTATGGTAGATTTTCCTAGTAACCTGTCTTCCTGACATCGACTCGGAACAGGCCCTCACTCCAGGCAGGCCTCCTGTCCCAGACACCATGACTTTACCTTCTCCTTAGGTGTCTCCAGAGGGCTGTGCCGCAGTCTCCTCTGATGCCCCATGTTCATGACAGAATGTGGTCTGTTCACCCTGAGACTTTCTCTTCACAAGATCTCTGTGTGGTAGCTAATGGCGCTCACCAGTGCTTATCACTCAGATCCGGAGCCTGGTATCTGTTTTCTGTCTCTACAACTGAATACCACAGATTGGGTCATTGATAAAGAAGAGCTTATTTGGCTCAGGGTTCTCAGGGTTTGGAAACATAAACCATGGCTGGCATCTGTGCAGTGTCTGCTCAGCGTCTGGTGAAGTTTCAGGTTGTGTGAGGACATCGATGACCAGATGGATCGGCACATCAGTGATACTGTTTCTGTAAACAGCCACTCACTTCCTCCATAACCCACATAGCATCTGTGACTAATCCCCTCCCCGGGTCCTCCTTCCTAACATTGCTGTTTTGGGCACCAAGTTTTCAACACATCAGTGGAGGGTACTTTCAGCTACAGCACTGGGATTTACCCTGCGTGATTCTGTTCTCCTTGACTGATACGTATAAATCCGCATAACCCCACAGCCAGGACATGGGGACTGCTTCCCATCAGGAGCTGGTGAGGAATTGCTGAAGGTTCCATACTCTCAACTGGGCATGGGGTGGCGTGCACAATTAAAGGTTCTGTTTAGCTCTCTCCTGCCATTCGGCGCCCTCCTGCTCTCTTGCCATGAATTGTTTCCCTGAGACCAGTCAGGCCTTTGACAGCTCAGAGATTCGGTTGTTTGGAGGAGAGGGGAAGGCAGTCTGAAAACTCCCTAACCATGAACAGAACACATTTAGAAGGCAGATACTCCAGGGAGGTGTGACTCACTGATAGAAATCCACAGCGTGGCATATATGAAAGGTGTCAGATTCTTTCCTGGAATCAGGAGGGCTGAGGCTTAGAGACTAAGGTGTCTAGAGGGGCTTCAGAGAAGGCCACCCCGATACCACAATTCTATAAAATTTCCACAGAAGGATCACAGTGTCCTTTGCCTCCTTCCTTCCCTCTTGTTCCCAAGGTTTGTGGCTTTAGCTTACGTTGCCAAGAAGCCTCCAGAAGGGGCCAGTCATACTCCTGGCTTCAGATCATATGTGCACACTGGACAGCCAGGGCTCTCATTCTCAAGAAACTTCTAGTCCAAGCCAGGTGCGTTATCGGTTGTAAGTTCTGCATGATTATGTGTGCAGAGGTGACTGAGATTTTTCATAGAGCAAGGTCTAGTAGATCCATTTATGAAATATATATTAAGTACTCCTGCGAGCAAGGCATTGATTGCTGTTACGTAATAAAGAGACCAGGAAGACCTTATGAGTGTCCTTGAGACACCAAGGATGTCCCAAGGAAAGTGTGTTAGTTCCATACGGCTGCTGTAACAAATTCCAGCAAATATATCGTCCTCCAGTGTTGGCCATGCAAAATGCATCCCCTGCAATGAAATCAAGGTGTCAACAGGGCTGTGTTCCTTCTTTGGGCTCTAGAGAAAACCCATTTCTTTGCTTTTTCCAGCTTCTAGAAGGTTCTTTGCTCCTTGGCTTGTGGTCCCTTTCCATCTTCAAAGCCAGCAGTGGCCAGTTGAGTCTTTCTCGTGCTTTCTTAATGCTGGTCTCTTTGTCACGTCTCCTCCTCTCTCTCCTGACTTGAAGGCTTTCCTGGTACCATCGGACTTGCGTGGGTAATCTCCCCTGCTGCATGCTTCCTAGTCTCATCTGCAAAGCCCTTTACTTATAAGGTCCATAGTCACAGGTCCCAACGTTGTTCTGCCTGCCACAGAAGATAACAGATGTCCTCATAACCTCATGAGTGCCAAGAAAGGGCACCCAGAGGGTCGCTGGCTCTCGCAGTGTCTGTGGTTGTTGTGAACCAAGTGAACCAGGATCTCAGGGTGGTACTTCATTCACTGCTGCTGGGTCTCGTCTAAATCCACGGGCAGAGGGCCCTTCCACAGGGCCCTAGTCTGTTCTGCCTAGTAGCCGTGTGGCCCAGAACTGGACAAACTGAACTGAAGTCCATTGCCCTCAGGGAAGGACACTTCTCTTCTTCTCTGAGGCTAGACACCCGGGACAGGAACCATACCCTAGCAGACCTCTGCAGAGCCAACTTTGCTGAGAAACAGCATCAAGGAGGTCAGGACGGCGGCTGCATCTGTACACAGACCCCAGAGCTACAGCCCTTGTTTTACCCTCATTAGTTACACCAAGAATCACTAGTCACAGACGGCATGAGGAGGTGAACAGCTGGCCTAGGACAATGGGAATACATCCCAGACTTTCTGAAGAGCAAGGATGGTGTCATCTCAGGGCCCAAGGACCCTGTGATGAGTCCCTCCTGGTGGCTTCCCAGCCTCCTTCCAGGAGGACGCCACAATTATGGGGAATCTCAACACTGAGTGGCTGACAGTTGGATGGTAGGTTGGTGAATGACTAAATCTACATCCTAGAGGTAGGGTACTGGTTAAAAATGGAGTAAAGAGTACTATCACCCGGGCTGGAGAGATGACTAGGACCCGGGTTCAATTCCCAGCACCCATATGGCAGCTAATAACCGTTCGTAACTCCAGCTCCAGGGGAATTTGATGCCTTCTTCTGATCCCCATGGGCACTGCACAACATGGATAGACTTAATGCCAACAATACACTCATACACATAAAATAAAAATAGCAATTTTTTAAAAGTACTGTCACTGTGCTCTAGTGGTGGAGCATGGAGCACTTTGCACACTGCCGTGGGTCACGGAAGGAAGCCCTCAGGACCTGTGGGGCTCCCCGGATGCATCTAGGCTGAGGAAAGGCACCATGTGTGGAAACATCACCCCTAGGGAGAAGCCAGCTCCACCTGGTAGCCTGACCTCCTCAGGGAGTGGCCCATAACCAGGGCACCCCTCATCCTCTCCTCCCTCCTGAGGTGCAGGGAAGCCTGAATATCACAGTAGCTCTGGGTCTGTGCTTGTCTCCTTGATTACCACTGAGGAGACTGTTTGCAGCACAACTTACAACTTACTTACAAGGCCACTTCTCTCTTCTGCTCACCTCATTAACACACCCCAGTCCCAGAGCCCCTGTCACCCCCAACACCCACGCTCATGAGTTTCTTGGCCATTTTCCTCCTCTCCCTGTCCTCCATCACCAAAGCCAATGGCTGTCCCTCAAGATAGAGGAAGCCAACCAGTGGGAGGAAGGGACTGGGCTGGCTGACTCCTAGGAATTTCCCTCAGGTCATGGTTGCTGAGACGTGTCTGTGACCCTCAGTTCACATTTCTCATGGGATTCTGAACATCAGATGCAGGTTGAGTTCCCATTCCCAGATGGGAACCAAAGGGAAGCCCTGGGGTGGCTTAGAAATGGGTCAGACTGATGTGACCAGGCCCTCAAAGATGTCAGACTGAAAAAGAACTTTGAGTCAGATGAGGATGGAGCCATGGCACCCTCAAGAGCTCTAAATGTCACAAATTGACAAATGACTTGGGCAATACGACTGTGGTAAG